AGAACTATGGATCAAAAATAAAGCATTTGGTATTTTAATATTATTTGTATTAAAACATTTTAAATTTTACCAATGAAAGCACTTGATGTATGACTGTATCTACTATAAGACCTTACAGATATTATTTCATTGGAGTCATCAGCAAGAATATGAATTGGAATTGCTTTTATACCCATTTCACTTTAAGTAAGTGTGCTTAGAGAGTTTAAGAAACTTGACCACGTTAGGAAGACAGTACTTGTTATAACCGAGATTGGAAACCAAGCACCCTGACCTCATTGTCTGAGTTCTCCAGTGTGGTGCTGTATCTCTAAGTCATAGTACCCTCAGTCAACGAAAGTCAAAAGAATAAAAAAAAATTGAAAATTTCACTCAATATTGCTCAAATACTGTGATTTTTCAAACATTTAGAACCTCTTTTCAAATACCTTCATCTGATTCATTGGACTACAGTGCTGACACTAATTTTGCTAAAGGAAATAAAAAACAAGCAGGAGAATGAAAGTCTAGAGGCTGTCGCAGCAAGTAGTACTCAATATCTAATGATCATTGCATAAGCAGAAAGGTTCTGAATGTCTTCTTGAATAATTTCACTCCCTTTAATTAATATTTTTTAAAGAAAACTCACAAATTGTGTCATATATAATGTCAGATTTGTAATGGGACCAGTTTTAAAGTAGAAGGTGGATGCCACATTTTCAATCCAGTCTCCAGTTTTTACTAGTTAGTTCTACATAAGATCAGACACACTGTTCAGCCTCTCTGAGTCTGTTTTATTGCTGTTGTGTGGGGACAATGATAGTAGCACTATAATGTTTTACAGATTTCTAAGAGATAAGTATAAGTTAATAAAAAATGTCATGACTCTTGTAAGGATGCTTAACTTTAGATATTATTATTATTGTGATACTTAAAATTGTTAGACTATGCAGTTAGAAGGTTTGCTTGCCCACATTTGTTGAGGCACCAAGTGAAAAGTAAGGGTGCCATTTGGACCAAGAGACAGAACAAAGGTAATTGGCTATTTAGACACTTGACCCATGCCCTAAACCTCATTAACTATGTGCTTTACTAAGCATACTGTCATGCTTTCAATCTAGCCATTCCCTGAGCATTTGTTGACATACAGATGAATGAACCATGGTCTCTGCCATCATAGAGCTAACAGTCTAGCAAGAAAAGGCAGGAAGATGAGCAAATTAATAGTAAAACTACTTCATAATAAATCAGTGCTACAATAGAGATTTATCATCCTGCTAAGAATGTATAGATAGAGCACTGCCAATAACACTTAGGGAAGCATGACATTCTCATCTTGTAACTGAATTTGTTGAGCCTAAAATTTTACTTCTCAGAACATATAGGTACATTGAAATCTCAAAGTTAAACGATAGAAAATCTGATTCCTCTTTTTGACATTTCAAAAGTACTTTTTTCTTTTTCTTTTTCTTTTTTTTTTTTTTTTTGCAGTATTGGGGCTTGAACTCAGGGTCTATACCTTGAGCCACTCCAACAGCCCTTCTTTTGTGAAGGATTTTTCGAGGTAGGGTCTTATGAACTGTTTGCCCAGGCTAGCTTCAAACCATAATCCTCCTGATCTCTGCCTTCTGAGGAGCTAGGATCATAGAAATGAGCCACCTGCACCTGGCTTCTTTCTTTCTTTGAAATAGTGAACATTTATTGTCTCAGTTTGTGTTGGCCATAGATTCAGGAATGGCTTAGCTTGGGGTTTCTGCCTTGGAGTTTCTGGTGCAGCTTCACTCAGAATGTCAAGGGTGGCTGCAGTCACTTGGAAGCTTGAATGTGTTTCCAAGGTCAGCTTCCAAAATGGCTGGTATGGGGAGAAGGGCTCAGTTCCTGTCCTCTGTTCCTGTTCAGGTGCCTACCTCCTTGACAGTTGCTTGGTCAACTAACCTTCTTCAGAGTGAGCAACCTAAGACAGAGTGGGCAGCAAGGAGGTGTGAAGTCTTGTATGATGACATCTTTGCAATTATACACTCTCAGTTCTGCCCAAAGGTAAATCTTTAAGTGACCCTGACTTAAATGGGAAGTTTAACTTCAAAACAGAACAACTTACATGTAGCAAATCTTTCCAAACTGCATTAGATGCACCAAATATTCCCAAATATTTGTTCCCAAATACTTTACCCACTTATATAGAGCTAGAAATATCAACTTTCTATGTTAAAAGTAACTATAAAGCTGGGTGAGGTGGTACAAGCCTGTAATCCCAGTTTCTCAGGATGCAGAGGCAAGAGCATCTCAGTTTGAGGCCAGCCTGGCAAAATTAGGGAGAACCTATCTCAAAAACAAACTAAAAACAAAAAGATTGGGACTGTGGCTGAAGTGGTAGTATACAAGCATGAGACCTTGGTGGGTTCAATCTTCAGCACCACAAAAAAAAGTAGTAGTTGTGATTTTGTCCTCAAGAGTCTTGGCAATGAATCTCTTATACCAATTCATTTGCATAGATACAGAAAGCCAATGACCAGACAGCAGTTTATTTATTTATTTTAAAAGTGAGGTCCAATGATTGCTTACTAATTTCCCAAAATAAAGGGTAAGTCTTCTGGAAAACTCCAAATATGATTCAGTGTGCACAAGACTGTTTTATGATTTTATTCCTTCTCAAGAATTTCCCCATTGCTTAAATTCAAATATATAAGAAGTTAGAGAATTCTTACAAAAGTTCTTATCCATTTGCTTTAGTCAAGTTTTACTACTAATAAATAATGACCAATGACCTAGATTCCTTGCTTTCCCTCCCAAAACATAAATGAAATGAATAATCTGTGATATGGAAGGTAAGTGGTTTCCCGGAGGTTTTACTCTTCCTGAAATTACTGCTGGTGGATTTGGAGAGAAATGATATTATTTAATCACTCTGTAAATTTTGAGGCATATACCTGTACAATAACAAGAATGTAAGTGGAAATTACACATTCCTATCCTGTGTTGTTTAATGTTGCTAATTTGACAATTTGAAAATTGTTTGTGGAAATGGAGTGCATGTTACACATAAGAATATGTAGCATTCTAACTTACTATTATACTCACATTATTGTAATTATGTATTATTCAGAGCAAGTCCTCAGCAGTTGGAAATTACCCATCAAGAGCCAAGTAAGTTCTGTTAGGGATTTCAGTGTCCCTGCAGGTGAATGAAGTCTTAAAGCTCTCTCTGTCACTGTTTCCAGAAGTGACATTTTATTAGCAGCCTGTGTCCCTCAGATACATAATCCCTGCCACTTTCAGAGATGTAAACAATTTCCATTTTGAACTATATCACCAGAATCTGAATCATTAGAGCTACACAGTGCATTCATCAGGACACATTTACCAGGACTGGAGCATCCATGGAACATTGTTTGCTACTATAAGCAAAGACTGATGGTCACTATCCCTGTATGATTTCCTTCATGTAAGTATTTGAATTGAGTAATATTTGCACTACTCTTTTTATTGCACTACATGTACATTCTATACATCACACATAGTTATAATCATTTTACACTTATATTCCTTTTCTAGGTTTAAACATTTAAATCACTGATATTATGTCCCAAGTTACGGAAGACATATATATGCATTGTGCCGGGTGCTCTAGGCTGAAGACAGCGTTAGCATTTTGGTCTGGTTATTTCATACCAAAAAAAAAAAAAAAAAGAAGAAGAAGAAGACTGAACGCATGCTCCTTCCTCTATGTACTGATGGACATAGTTCAAAACATTTAGGCTAGACTGAATTTTTCTATATTAAAAAAGTCAAGTTTTGCCCTATCATGTACTTTTAGATCTAACCAGTTTTCCTTTGCTACTCTCAAGTGCTTGCAGCCAGGGGCAGTAGAGCTTTGTCCTGCCTGCCTTTCCAGTGGAGCACTAAAGGCATAGAACACACTTGCCCCAGTGTTTGCCCCCTGGTGCAGGTCATAAGACCTTGAACAGCTGCTAAAGTCCATTAACAGTCACTTAAGCAGCAGGTTGGGGAAGCTGTGCTGCTATGAGCTCAAGGTGGGGCTGGGAACGCAAATGGAGAGGGCTTAGTTGCCAGTACCTAGAGTATATATTTATGCCCAATTTGGGGACAGTTATATTTTAAATTATGAAATTATTTATTAGTTGTCATATATAGTGGGTAGAATGTTTTGCTAAAAATGTTCTGTCAGACTTAACTGTTCAGTTGGTTGGCAAGTATTATATATCAAATGTTCATGGGCAAGTAGAGAGTTGATCTAACCATTCTCTTCCTTATATGTATTGAAAACTGATATGCAAATCTGAGGACATACATCTTATCCTGTTTAATCTCAGCTACTAGTTGGCTGTTCTTTAGTCTGGGAAATAAATATCCTCCCATTTTCTACAAAGCAAAGGAAATAAACTAAGCCAGTATACCAGAAGCAGCTTAAAACCTACAAATTATTTTTCAAGACTTGAGCTTGTTTAAGGCTCTATTTTAAGAGTCAGTCCTTTTTATATTTGTCTCAACAAGAGGCTTAGAGGATTGAAATATTTAATTGGTGGAAAGTAGGAGCTATTACTCCCCCACCTCCTCTACTCAGCAAAAGAAAAAAAAAAAAAAAAAGCAAGCAAGCTCATTCAATTCCTAGCCAGATCTTTAAAATGTTAACATCAAGTGGCAAGTCATTATTCCTAAATCAGAAGAAAAACCCTTGAAACACTGTTTCCACCATAAACATATGTATGTGTTTTAAATTCAAATTATTGAGGAATCACCTTCAAGTGGTTTTCCATAACCACTAAATATAAAAAGAATCACCACCACCTGGGAATGAGATGTCACTGTCTCTTTCATCTACATAAGGGGTCCTGTTAGCTGCTTCTTGGTGTCTTATTTGGGAATTGTACTGTGGGCAGTGTATTTGTCATGGTTCCAAGCTATCCCTAAAACAGTCATTATTAAATAAAAGGAATAATTTAATAATTGTCCTTATTATTCTACTAATGCTCCTAACAGAATTGGCCAAAGGATCCTCTCCTAGGTCATCTTCCAGAGATAAAGGAAGGATTAGGCATCCAGGCGTTGCCCAGGGATGCTGCTGCTGTGCCTCACACAGTTGTCAGTGTGGTAGTGACAGGCCACACCTGGCAGTGGTCACCGTGCAGCTCCTGTGAGTCAGGGCTGTGGTTCACCCTCACAGAGCTGCTCTGATCAGCTCCAGCGGCAGTAGAGGGAGCCTAGGCTCTCTTGAGGAAGAGGAGACTGGAGGGTCCCTGCTGCATTCTGAGAAGAAGCGGCCGGCTGCAGCCTCCATGTGTGAAGTTCCCAGCACGCACTCAGCTGGGCTGCTCCACACCCTCAATTGTGGATGAGCCCTGGAGCTTGTCAACGAGAAAAAGAGAGAGCGAGAGAGCGAGAGAGAGATCCCATCTTGCTTTCTTAGAGAAAGGGCTGAGGAATGTGCTACCCAAGAAATTTGGCAATGAGAAGAGTGAAAGGCAGTTTTGTGCCAGCAGCTAAGTTGTAAAATTGCTTTGGAGGCTACCCAGGGAGCGCGAAAGAACTGACAAAAGAACAGACACCATTGCAGACCAAAGGCATGCCTGATTGCAAGAGTCGGGTCGCTGGGACGCAGCCTCCGCTCCTGCTCTAACTATGTGTGGCTGAATAAGGAAAAGGAGACTAGAAACACAATTGCAAGTGGTAGTCCTGAAAGGAAAACATATACATCCCAAAAGGAGGGGAGGAACAACCCAGCTGGTGTGCACCCTTTTTTTTTTTTAAAGGAGAATCCCTCAGGTATGTTCTTTCCCCTCTATATGCACTGCCTCATCTGCATGTGATTTTGCCTTTGCCTTTTCTTCTTGATTTTTTTTTTTTTGGCACTTTGAATCACAACCATGGGACTGTCTTAGTGTAATATATGCATTTATAAAAACTCAGCTCTCCTGTGTTTATAATCTATATGATTTTATTGAAGATCAAGTTGTTCTCAATCATTGCTTGCTTTTCAATGCAGAATGTAAATGCTTGTTTAGTTTTCAGTCAACTTCCTGGGGAATATCTGCATAAGGACAAACAGGGTTGGGATAAAATCATGGATATTCCCTACTCCCTAGAGTTTTCCTGGGAAAATTAGAGTGAAACAGAGAAGAAAAGTTGAGAGCTTCCGGGAAGGGTTAAAAGCCAAGATGTCATAGACTAGTATTGTGTCATTCAAGTGTTTTTCCAGCTGGGCGTCCCAATCTGGAGCAAATTAAGCTTTCCAATGGTTTTCTTTATCAGTTCTTCAGGATGAAGATCCTGAAGATTTACTTTCAAGAGATGAATTGCTAAGATTGTGTGTTCGGTGGTTCTGTTTTACAACTGTTCTATGATGCTAAAGGAAGCAGTCAAAAAAAATATTCAGTTGCTCCAGCAGCATGAGTAAACCCCAACTTCTGCAATTACATCACCAGTGTATTTGTATAATAAAGAGAAAGACAATTGTGGCAGCAGTAGTTGTGTTGGCTGCCTTAGTACCTAGGCTGATATGACAAATTTTAGCATCAGTTTTCCTTACCAGGCTTTTAGAGAGAAAAAAATGAAAGAGGTGGGAAGTAACACACATAAAGATTGAGTTATTAAAAGTAGTCTGCATTTCCTTAAAAATTTTACAAATTTATATCATTTGTAATTAATAATAAATGTAGTGCTTTTGGCAAAATCATCTTGCCCTCTTTTACTCTTGAATACTTTATTTCCAGAGGGGGCAAAATTGGCAATAAATTCTATGCACACATATTTAAATGGGCTTTTCCAGAGGAGAGAAATGAGAATGAAAAAGTTTTCTGTACATTGTAAATATTTCATGGATTTTTTTTTACTGCTTTGTTAACACAAAGATTTAATGCTAAAGCACTTGACTTTTAATTATTTGTCCTACTTTCTTATGATGTAAAAGTACAAATGGCATAGGGACAAATGAGCTTTAAGTTATCATTTATGTACACTAAAGTAAATCACCAAACTGCTCACTTAAAGCTAAAACCTCATTTTGCCAAATGGCAGCGATCTGGAGTCCTAAGTTGGGCTATACACCAACATCAGGTAATCAATTGCTTCAAAATTCCACACATTGCTATAATAACAATTCAAAATTATGGTAAGTAATTACAGGCAATTCTTAAGATGATTAAGAATGATAGAGGATATACAAAGTAGTAAGCTTGCATTCATCACTCAGAAATAAAAAACACTGTATATTTCTTCTATGTTGACATTTGTATGAGGAAGGTTTTAATAGTTTCTGTAGATGAAGTGTTACACTAATTATGCAACAGTAATTTTATAGAATCCTTTAAGTGATTATTTTTAAAATAATAAATTGATATAAAATAATATAAAAGGTATTTGAAACATTTACAAATGTGTTTGCCCTTTCAAACTATAAAAGTTGTTTTCAACCTCCAATTTTGTTAAAGTATTTTCAGTAGAATTGTGGACTTAGATTTGAGGGTAGTTATGGACTTATTTCTTAAGTAGTCAATTATCTGTTATTAGATTTTCATCAAAGAGATTTGGAAACTTCTCCCATAGATCTCCATCACCAAATAGTTGGATCAATCAATGCCCAGGTGAAATCTGAGGCGACTATATGAGATTAGCCTAGAGAAATCACTTTTCATATGCTTATTATTAACCATGTAAATTGTGTTCCTTCCTAGATCCTACAATACTTTCAATGACTGGGAGTCTAAATATCAAGCAGTGAAGTATGTGGTACACAGAACTAGTTGCTTAAGAGCTGTAGGAAGGTGAAAGTGTGGCAATTCCTCTTTCAAAGACAAATTTCCTTAAGCGTATGTGTGTATAGTGTTGAGGGAGTATCAGTAGAGAAGGGATTGTACTTCAATGTCTTTGCCCACTTAGGGAAAACCTGTGTCAGTACAGTTCTGATATGATAATATCTTTTCCCAATGCTCTGAGCACATTCATTTCCATGGACCTTCTCAGCTAATACAATGCAGAAGCCCTACATGAACTCTTTCTCTGGCATTGTGCCACCTGTAAATCATCTTCTAGTTCTAACACTACCAGCTTCTGTTATGCATTCTTTCCATCTCAGCCTTTACCAAATAAGCACATGCTCTAAAATCTTTGAAGATGTAGATACTACCTTGCCTCCTGAGAAAAACATCTCTGGTTTTCAGATAGGAATTTAAAAATTTTAAATGCATGCCAAATTTGTTTGTAAAATATACTTTTAAAGATAGAAAGCTATATCAGTACATATTAGCTATATTATAGATTATACCTAATATCAACTTATTTTGTAGTATACATTTAGAATAATGTTACTCAAGCAATAGTTGCAAATTCAAAGAATTAAAATTGAATCTTTTTATTGTTGCTGCAAACCATTTCTGGGTCTTAAATTGTCTGTGTTTGAATTGCAAGGCTCAAATTCTTTCCTAACTTCAAAAAAAGAGGATTTATTAATAACCCTTTCAGTCTGTAGCTTTTGAGTATAAGTACCTGGTTGTGAAATCTCCACAGAGGTCATGAATGCCACACCTGTAGCCTTTCAAGACATAGTTAAAGACAGGAATAAATATTCTAACCTCTAGAGCAAGTCTTCCAGAGAAAATGTTGATATGAAGAAGAAACACTGAATCTTTTTCTCCTTCACTTGCAAAACTTGACCCAAGAGTCCTATGGGTTTCCTATCTCTTGTATATCCTAATTATATTATATGTTTGAGCATTAGCGTACAGAAATTATAATAGTCTTGATAAAAGAAAGATTTTCTATTGCTTCTGCTACATAATTAGAAAAGTATTTTGTAGAAATAAATGCTGGATACCAGGATAAACTCGATACTTTCTATCAGTTATACTCAGGATTTTCAAAGTATTTAAAAAAGGTAACCATAAAAGGTGGGTTTTCTTTTTTTATTATTGTTGTGCTGGGTGGGGGTACATGGTAGCATTTACAAAGGTACTTACAATGTATCAAATACATCATACTTGAACTCACCCCTCCACTGCTCTCCTTCTTTCAAATATTTCTTGTCTCCATTGGACTTGTGTTATCCTACTTTTATTCCTAACACTCAAATCACTACTGGCCAGTGACTCTTGAGAATCTAGGTGCAATATGTGTGTTTGATAAGGGAAAAGTGTGTTGCATGAAAATATCTTATTTCATGTCATTTATAACTGGCAATTACATGCTCCAGAAGCAGCTTTTCTAGGTACATGCAACCTAAAGGGGAAAAAAAGAAGAAAGGAAAAGAACATCTATCAAATAGGGATGATTACTACTTTACAGGTGGGAAGACTTAGGTGTAAGTTGGCATTTTTCTGAGTGGGGCACTGTTGACATCCCAGAACACCCAGAGAAAGAACAAATGTTTTGAGTCATGCTATTGTTAAGTGGTGTGCAATTACAGAAACTTAAAAAAAATTTGCTTTATCAGTGAGAAATCTTAAGTAAAAGTTGCAAGAGAGATAAACCTAGAGAAGTAGTGTTCATATTTCAAAAGCAGTTATATTTTTCTGCTCTCTAATAGAAAACACTGGAATTTATAAGGTTCTGGGTCAGTTTCCCACTGGCTAGGAAATTTGGGATTTTTTTTTGTTTGTAAGTCTTAATTTTCTTGTCTGTAAGACAGTGTAGACACTCATGAAGATCCCTTCTAGTTCTGACTCGGGGATTTTTGTTAACAAAATCATTTCCTTTATCTTGTAAAATTAGTATATATTAATTGTTCAAAACAATGGGTTTCATCATAACATCCTCAAACATGTATAAAATGTAATTTGGTCATATTTGAGTCCCCCATTACCTTCTCTTGTCCCCTTTCTCCACTCTTGCTAGTCTCCTTCCTCTTCCCAAAAGTCTGTAGGGTGGAGTTCATATGAAATGCAGTTATGGAATTATTTGGATCTGATTTTCTTTTCCTTAGTCTCTCAGGAAATGAAAAAGTACATGTTTGCCTAATAAACTGAAGAAATAGTATTAATCCTTTTAGAATCCAGTACAAAGTTTGGTACTTTGTTTTCCTTCAGATAATTGGTAAAGTATTGTCTTAATTATAGTCTACACAACTGCACATAATCACCTTCAATATCCAAAGAGAATTGGTTCCAGGATTCCCCCAACCCCCCCAGACAGCAACACTCCAAAAATGTTCAAGTTCCTTGCATAAAATACTTTAGCATTTTCATATAACCTAAGTACATCCTTATGCATACCTTGAATCATCTCTAGTTTACTAGTTAATACCTAGTACAATTTAAATTATATGTAAGCAATTGTTACACTAGATTGTTTAGATACAAATAGCAAGAAAAAGTGTGTAGACATTCACTACAGGTGAAAATTTTAAGTATGTTTAATCTATAGTTGGCTGAATCCATGAATGCAGAACCTGTGGATACAGAGGCTGACTGTGCTTGTAGAAGGCCCTTATCTGAGAGTCATGACATAATTGCTTTACTTTGATAGATGGTAAAATGCTGCTTTCAACAAACAAGAAATAAATAATGTTAGAGTATGTAACTGCTCACTTTTTGAGAGTCAGTTTATACATTTTAAAAAATAAAATGTATATAAATACTTATCAGTAGAATAGTTTCCTTACTCTCCCTCCAGCTCTCTTCTTCTCTGGATGGGGACCCTCAGTGAGAATATGTTGAAAAGGAAGGGGTTGTAGGATCTCATAGCTAAGAAGGCAAACTTAACTAGAAAAGCTTTTTAAATCTAAGGAAAATTTATATTTCCCTTTAATTTCAAAGGAGGTTTATTCACAGGAG